ATCAAGTTTGGATGAGAAGATTATAAGCAGAATTCTCTTGGAAATTTTGATGGGTGAACACTGAAGGAAGAGGAAAGTAACTCCTTTTTCTTCACAGACATTAATGTTTTTGTTATTTGATAAAATGGCAGCAGTTCCTAGATTTGGAGATCTCTGAGGGTCTCATTAAGTGCCATTTACTATGACTGTGCTGTCATCACATTTACCACTCAAAGCTCAGCTTGGTGTAGAGGCAAACTTTCTGTTGCAGTTCAGTATGAATTAATGAATGATTATGCCAGTGCCTAGTACTGGCTATTTCAGATATAGTTCAGTGTCATTCTGTTTCTTGCAGACCAGTTTCTAGTACTTACTGGATGTGAATATCTTTTCATGACCAAACTTATGTTCCCTTGAGTTGAGATCTTGATTGCTTTCCTTACCCTCATGGCCAAAAGACCATTTTGGCAAAAAACAAGGAATTTTCTTAGACATGCTGGCTGGTGCAGTGCTTTCTGTAGTTCAAGATAACAGTTAAAGATAGCTGAGGCAGCTATATGGTTCGGTGGATAAACTAGAGCATAGTGCCTAGAGCCAGGAAGACCTGACTCCAAATACAGCTTCAGACAGTTGGTAGCTGTGTGACTTTGGGCAAGTCTCTTAACCTCTTTGTTTCAGTTTCCTCAGCTGTAAAATGGGGATAATAATAGCACCCACCTCTCAGGGTTGTTGTGAGGATCAAATGTGATATATGTAAAATCACAATGCCTGGCACATAGTAGATGCTGTATAAATGCTAGCTATTATTATTGGCTGTGGTTCATTGGTACAACTGAAGCAAATGTGGGGTGGTATATTGTCAATAATAGCTCTTAGGAATTGTCGATTTCACCTTAAAAAGACAAAACAAACAAACCTACAAAACCTGTGCTTAGCATGTGTGATGTAGTCTTGTTCCTTTTGGTAACAATTGAGGTCCTGGTGCTTAGGGGTGCTTTAGATAGACTGAGATCTTTGCGGGGGGGGGGGGCGGCTTTCCAACCAGGAAGTTTAAAACCGCTAGTAGATGTTATAGAAATAATGTTGGAGTTTAAATGTTTAGGGTTCAAGCCTAACCTCTACCTCAGAGGTTCCCAAACTTATTTAGCCTACTGCCCCCTTTAAAAAAAATTGCTCAGCACCCCCCTAAAATCTACTTTCTTTAACCCTTTAATGGTTTTATTGAAAATTTGCACCATTTCAAAATACACATTTTTTTAAATGACATCTTAAATTTAGTAATTTATTGCAAATTTGTAGGGTTTTCCTGCATTGAAATTTTGATGATGATGCAGTATTGCATTGTGTAACCCTATAGTATCGTATTATAAACAAGTCATTACACGCACGTATTTCTGCCAATATATGCTGGACTTTCTGACAATGCGTGACATGATTGCTTGCCAACACTTGCTTGTTAAGACCTGTCAGTGGACTTGATCATTGATCAGTTACAACTTGCATTTTGTGTGTTTATTTGGAAAACAATGTAATCACTGCGACTTTAACTCTTTTACACAATAGATGAAATATATAAGAACATTTTTTTAAAATTTTCTTATTTTCTTTCATGCCCCCTTATTTTTATTCATAGTCCCTCAATTGCACCCGAGGCTACTACCACCCCTCTTTCCCCCCATCATACCACCCCCCCCCCAGGGAGTGTTATTGGCCACTTTGGGAACCTCTGCTTCTACCTGAATGATGGATCCCTTCTGCAAGAGGCTCTCATTTAGTCTGTGCTTGAAAACCTCCAATGAGAGACAGTTCATACTTCATACTTTTTATGTATTGAACATAAATCTGTCTCCGTTTAACTTGTATCCGTTGTTCCTGGTTCTGCCTTCTCTAGCCAAATAGAATTTCAACCTTCTTTAACTCTTAAGATATTTTGAAGATAATCAAGTCTGTCTCTAACTCTAGAAACTTTTTTTCAGGTTAAACTTCCTTAGTTTTTTCCGTAGATCTTCATATGAGTGATAGAATTTTAAGTCCCCTTACCAGCATTCTTAGTTACCCTGCTGGAGTCACTCCAGCTTATCAGTCATCTTACTAATATGTGGTACCTAGAACTTAATATAATTGTGTGTATAACCCAATGTTGTAGATATTGTCTAATAAGAGCAGAGTTCAGTGGGAATGTAACCTCCCTTGTTCTGGAGAACCTACTTTTTATTAATGCTGCCCAGGATCACATTACCTTTTTCATCTGCCATATCATATAATGTTGACCTCTATTATAGAAACTCCCAGATATTTTTTGTGTGTCAGTCTAGCCATGCTTACCACCTTAAATTGGTACAATTTTTTTTTAACCTGGAGGAAGGATTTACACTTATCCCCCATTAAATTTCATCAAAGCTTTACCTGGTTGATTTCCAAATCAGTTTTTGCTGCCATATATATTTTCTTCCACAGCCTCTTTTCTGTGGTTTACCAGATAGAATTCCCAGCTCAGAGGGGAACATTGCTAGAATTATCACCCATACCACTGAATTTGCAGTAGAGACTGTAGCTCCACCCACCTACTTTTGAGTAAGCACCAGGTTTCAGGGAGGTTAAAAGTATTATTTCCTTCTCAACCGAAGGTTTGGAACTTTTGTCCTAGAGCATAAATATGGTAGAAAAATTAGGCTGAAAATAATTTCAGGAGTAAATCTCACCAGCGGTCTGGCCCTACTTCTAATAGCTGAGTCCACTTGGAATCTGCACGTCTAGTGAAAAGTATACTTGTCAGTTTGTAAAAAGATGGTAGAAGGGTATGAGCTCTGGGAATGGTTCAGGAAGATGGGGCTGAATTGAAGTTTTTGCAGGGGGGAGGTGATCTATTGTGATCCTGTAAAGTGACAGGCCATCTATACACTTAAGCAAGGTTAGCATACAAACACCCAATGTAGCATTGAGAGACAGGAAACAGTCAGGTGCCCAGCAGGTCTTAGTATCTATAGGGAATTCACCTTCTGAACATCATTTATCCTAGCTAGCAATGACCTTTCTCCCCAATTCCTGGCAATCAGGAATAAAGGTGGAGGCCAGCTGGTAAGGACTTCATCAGTCTCATGCTTTTGGAGTCATTGGTATTGCTATACCTCTTGACCTTTGGTTGTGGGAACTAAACAGTTAAAACATCATCATCATTAGAAGGAAACCACTGCTTATGAATGAAGGCAAAGTTTGGCAAGATGCCAAAATAGGCTGAGAGAAGGGGCGGGGGCTAACTGACTTTTATGCCACAAACGACTTTAAAAATTAAGAGATAATTCCTTGTCTTGAGGTTATAAACCGGCTGCAACTGGTTTTTCTCTCCTCCCCCCCCTTGCCCCTGCTAGGCATCATGGGTAAAAGTAAGCATCCCCCTGTTCCTTTTGTTTAATATAACAGTACGGCATGTGATTGGCAGGGCAGTGCCCGCTTGGAGACTGGGTTTGTTCAGGTCTCTCAAGGGTGCTGGCACGCATGGGGCCACCCCAGTGCTACAGAGAGGGTTCCTCATACAAAAGAAAAGAGGGGAAAAAGGAACTCCCCCCCCCCAATAAAGCAAACTCATCCCTTTCCTCTCCCCACTCTTTTTTTTTGTTGGTATTCCCCTTTCTTGTTTCTCAATTTTTCTGACAACTAGAGGAGGCGGCAGGAAAATGTATACCTGTAAGTACTTTCAACTGTCCATTTTTTTCTTTTTTTTTTTTAAACAAAAAGCAGAAATGAAGTCTGTAGTTATCCACAGCCCTTTTCTTGCCATTAGGAGAGAGTGATATGTTGGGGTCTCTGAATGGGGTTCAGGGAATTAACACTATTGCTTTTGAAAATTTTCTGATGTATTTCCTCTACAAAGCTCTTCTCTTTGGTTCAGCTCCTCGTTCTTGCCGGCCTCCCCATTCAGTGTTCTGGTGGGGGTCCCTGGCTCCCAGTCTTCCTTAAGCTGAAGCTTCAAGAGAAGGCTGATACTAAGGGTTTTTTTTTTAAATGTTTCTTTTGTCTGTAGCAGTGATGGGTTTTAGCTCCCCCTCATCCTCCCTCCCCCCCTTTTCTTTCTATGTCAGCTCCAACCCCTCTCTGTGAATGGAGTCAACCAGCTGACGAGGGTGAGTGCTGGCATGATGCCAGGGGCTGCAAAACGATGTGTATGCGCGTGTGTAAGTGTATACAGAGCACAAAGGGAAAGGCCTGCAGTCTAGGAAATCACGGACTATTATATAAGGAAGCCTGCGTCATCTTTGCTTGCTTGGGCTGATGGTTGAGGGGGGAGGGAGGAGGCTTGGAGCAAGAAAAACACTTTTTGCCCCCTTCCTTCCCATCTTTCTTTTCAAAAAAATGTTCAATTGCAAATAGTATTGAAGATGGCTTCTCAGACTGGGTGGTATTGGTCATGTTCCCAGTTGAAGTTATCTTTGGGGGTAGGGTGGGGGGGGGACTAGGAGGTACAGGCAGCATGGTTTGTGAGTCTCTTCTTGTGTTCAGAGGTATATATGCTTTGAAAAGAAGGCACTGCCCTAAGGAGAATGCCTCCTGGATTTAACAGCTGTAATTCATTAAGGAGGCTTTTTATTATTTTAATAGCAAACTGTTTCAGCATTGTCAAGGCAGGAAGAAAAAAGTCTTAAGGAGAAGCAAAATACCAGATAATAGAGCAAATATTATCTATAGTTGTTCCTTCTTAACTACCCCCCCCTTTTTTGTATAGAAATGCATTTTTTCTCTATGCCATCTGCTCTACAGAGTTAGATTTGTACAAAAGGAAACTCAAATAACACATGGCAGGAAAAAAAATTCAGAGGTTGTTCTGAGCTTCCAGGCATTAGATCTGCTATATTTTGGGATTCTTGTTGGACTGGTCATGCATGTCCTTAAAGCACTGAAAGCATATTCTGTTCCACCATGGTTGAGAGTTGTTTTGCGCCAGCATCCTATCACATCATTTGGAAGTTACAATTCTACCCAATTTACCATGATGCCTTTTTTCTTCACTTCTCTTTATTTCCTAGATGGATATATGTGGAGTTTGTCGGGTGGAAATGAGAATTAAAACGTGTTAATGAATAGAGGGGTCGTAACTTTACAGTTGGCTTTATGTGAGTACTCATTTTTATTTGGATCTGATCATTCGGAGCCATAGCACTAATTTGTAAGGGGCTGGGAGTGGGGAAATAACCATTAGTGGGAGTGGACTGAAATGGCTTGGATTTATATTGGGCTTCAGTATAGAGGGAGCTGTAGTTTTGTTTTGTTCTTTTGGAGATGAAATTGTGCTTTCTAAGTCTTTCTTCACTACCAAAGTACTGTAGGAAGAGCAGCCTTGGTTTAAACAACCTTTTATAAATGTATCTGATTTTTACTTCCTTCTTTGTTGAAGGGTAAGTTGCTCTAAATATCTCTACTTGTTTCATTTTGTTGGAGAATGCATTTGGGGTTACACTTTCTTTAAGAATGGTAGGATTAGACCTGCCAGAGCTGCAGGCCTATTCTTCACAAGCTGCCTGAACTTGTTTCCCATTCCTGTGCAGCAAAAGCCCACTCTTCCAAGTTACCTTTACAAATGAATTAAGTTGTTTCACAGTTACTTGATTTCCATACCTTAGTCTAGCAGGAAATCACCAAGCAGAAGAAAAATCTCTGCTAGAGTTGAGTAGCTGAAGTTAGACACCTTAGTATTCGCATAGAGCTGCAATGATACTCCCTCACTGTTAGAAGCCATAATTACCTTTTGGGGTTGATATTATCCTTTTATAGTATTGCATGGAAATGTTCTCAGTGGGAGCCAGCCATTTTGTATATGCTGTGTTGAATCAAATTTTACTATTTATGTTGGTGTGTTTTCAATGTAAATGGAACAGAAGAGATGCTTATTTCATCCTTTCCAGTTTTTTTAGTTTAATTTTCTTCCCCCATGCTGATTTTGTTGTAGACTAGTGGGTTCATAGGAACAAGTTCACTTAAAAACTTGATTTTGATTTTTGTTCTATTCCTACTTTTAACCAGGAAGAGAGTTTTAAATGGTAGGTTCTATTCAGAGACATTAGTGAAGACAACTCTCTTTTAATGGACAGATTTGGAGGGATTTTTTTTTTGCTTATTCCTTATAAGTTGTAGTTGAAATTTACTGATAATCACAGAATTTAAGAATTGGAAGAGACCTCAGAGGCCATATGCTCTAACCCATACATGAAAGAATCCCTACTATAACGCACTAAACCAAGTGGTCATCCAGCCTACCTCTTCTCAGAGACCTCCAGGGAGTAGTAATCCACTACTTCTTGAGGCAAACCATTCCATTTTTGGACTGCTCTAATTGTCAGGAAGTTTTTCCCGACATCAAGCCTAAATTGGCCTTTTTGCAGAATTTTATATTTATCCATGTTGAATGTCATCTTAATAGAATAAGTCCAGTACTCTAGCTGGGGGTTCTTAACATGGGGTATTAACATTTTTTTTAAAGCAACTATTGGGGCAGCTAGATGGCACACTGGATAGAGGACCAGCCCTGGAGTTAGAAGACCTGGGTTCAAATGTGGGCTCAGACAATATCTGTGTGACCCTGGGCAAGTCACTCAACCCCAACAAAATTTTTTTTTACTATTTCAGTATAATTTCCTTTGTAATCATATGTGTTTGATGCATTTAAAAACATTATTCTGAGCTTGGGTCCATAGGCTTCACTGGGCTCTCAAAGGTGTTCATGACACGAAAAATATCAAGAACCTTGCCTGTCAGGATCCTTTTGGATCCTGACTTTCATGCAAATAAAGTTTTAAAGAACAAATAGAATCATCTTTTGATCTTCTTCTACCTTGTTCCAATATCACCTGTTTAAAATAGTACTTGGGAGATGTGACTTTTACATCTGTCTGATATTCATAGAACTGTGTAGTCTCAAAATTAGAAAGGAGTCCAAGAAGTCATCTAGTCCAACCATGATTGGTGAATCCTTGTATTAGATTGTCAGGATACCTTGATAATGATAACAAGGAAAAGAATTTGAATTTTGGAAAGTGCTTCTGTTCTCCACAATTCTGTGACCTTCTGAAAGAGGACTGGATTTTAAGTCAGATGACCTCAATTCAAATCCCTGTTCTGCCTCTTACCAATGGCATGACTTAGGGCAAGTCATTTAATCTTTCTTTCTCTCTCATTTTCTCTCATGGTTATTTCGAGCTTTAAGTCTGTGATATTATAGTCTATGATTTATAGTGATGGGTGGCTTAGGGCAAGGCCTGCTCTTCCTGGGATTTTTCCTTTGATTAACTGTATGGAGAATACAGCCAATGGATTTGTTGTATTGGGTGAACTAAAGGCAAAGAGGAAAAGATGTTAGGAGGGCAAGTATAGAGCAGTAGACCTTGTGCCCATTCATCTTTTTTAGAACTATTGTTTTGATAGTCTGGATTTGAGAAAACAAAAATCAGAAGCTCTCAGATTTCATTTTACACATATGGAAACTGGGACTAGTAGAAATTAAGTGACTTGCCCAAGGGTCTCACAGTTTCTTTGATTCCAAATTCAGTACCCTTTCTACTATGCCATATTGTCTTTCATGAAAATACAGAAACAAATGGACTTGTCTCTTGAGCTCATTTTGCCTTTTCAGTGTTTTCCTTATAACTTCCTTGAGCTAATTAATCCCAGTATATGCTGGCTACTGGTTTTGACTTTTGATTTTTCCACTTCCAAGGTAGATTGCTCTGTTAGAGCATTCAAGATTAAGTTTGTAAACCTTAAAATGCTGTATAAGTGTGATTGGTTATTATTGGGAAAACTTGGAGGAGATAGGCTATTGAAACCTAGGGAAAGTTGGTAGGGATTTTTTTTTTGTTTATCTGTTTTTTTAAACCAAACATTTTATTAATGTCTACTATCTTTTTATCACTGTCATACAGGGGATGGGGTGGGGGACGACTCTTAACCACTATAGAACTTTTTCTTATGATAAAGAAAAATAAGCAAAAACATCTGATGTGGTGACACCTTAAAGTATATATGACATTCTAGTAGACTTCCATCTCTCTCTCTCTGTCTCTGCTGTGATGAGGGAGCTGTGTTTCATTTTTTGAACCCTCATTGGTTTTCTGGTTATTCAGAGCTTGATTGATTTTAAGTAATTATTACATGGTAGTAAATGCATATTGTTCTTTTGATTCTGTTTATTTGACTCAGTATCTTTTCATATAAGACTTTACTCGTTTTTTTGCAATTCTCATTCATCATTTATTACAATAATATTCCATTACATATTCCATAATTTTTTCAGCTGTTCACCGATCAGTGGGCACCTACTTTTTTTCCATTCACTGCTGTCACAAAAAGTGTTGGTATGAATGTTTTGGTGTATATCAGTTCACTGTTAACTATCTTTAACTAACTTTATATGTTAATAAATAGGATCAATGGGTCAAAAGGTATGTATGGTTATTAATCACTTTTCTTTGATATTTCCAAAAGTATATTAATATTCTTATGTTCCCTCAATCCCTGCATCATTGAGTCTTACTTTTTTTTGGTCAACTCTGCCATTGTGTAGGGCATGATGAGGTGAAATGTAGGATTTTTTTTTAATGCATTCTTCTTAGTGCTTTTGGAGCAATGTTATATGGTCATTTGTAATTTGCATTTCTTGTGAAAACTGTTCATATCATTTGGCCACTTATCTGTTAAGGTTTTTTTTACTATACTGTAGCTGCCTCATAAATTGGTCTGGTTTAAAATGAATCAGAGGAATTTTATCTGCCTGGGGTGCCTGGGCTTCTAGGAATAAGAATGTTGAACCTGGGGAATAGGAATACAATTTTTGGTATGTTAGTTGACAATTCCCATAGGTTATAAAGTTTGGTCAGTCGTTAATAATATTTAAACATCTTTTTTTTGGTGTAGATTTCTGTATGAGAACTATTGTTATGGTCCAATTGTTCAGTCATATCCAGCTTTTCATGATCCCGTGGATCATACTGTCCATGGGGTTTTCTTGGCAGATACTGGAGTAGTTTGCCATTTCCTTCTTCAGTGGATTAAGAGAACATAGGTTAAGTGACTTGCCCAGAGAGGGTCACAGCTAGTAAATGTCTCAGGTTGGATTTGAACTTAGATTTTCCTGACTCCAGGCCCAGTGCTTTCTCCACTAAGCTGTCTTCTTGCCTTTTTGTGCCTGTGGATAGGTACAAAAAGAGTAAGTACATCAGTGTTGTTAAATAACTTAACAGTCTACGTAGAAAGAAAAAACATAAAATAACAACATAGATAGGCCTTAAAGAAGCAAATGAGCAGTTAGATGGGGTTAGAGCTAGATTTTAATAGTATTTTATTTTTTTCCAATTACATGTAAAGATAGTTTTCATAAGATTTTGAGTTCCAGATTTTTCTCCTTCTCTGCCTTATCTCCCCCCTCCCCAAGACAACAAGCAATCTGATATAGGTTATACATGTACAATCATGTTAAACAAAACATATTTCTACATTAGTCATGTTGTGAAAGAAGAATCAGAACAAAAGAGAAAAACCACAAAAACGAAAAAACAAAATGAAAATGGTGTGCTTCAATCTGCATTCAGACTCCATAATTCTTTCTCTGGATGTGGACAGCATTTTCCATCATGAGTCTTTTGGAATTGTTAGCGCTGGATTTTAGAAGCAAGGGACGTGAATCAGTAGAAAGGTGTGGGGATTTAGAGGGTGGGATGCTGGATACTGAGAAGATGGTGACATATATAGAGAAGAATGAGAGAATAGGAAAGTTGTACATAGAAGATAGTGAACAGATTTGGTTGCCTAGAACAGATAGGCCCTGTAGAAGATTAATGACAGATAAGGTTCTGGAGATGGAAGCGTTTTGAAGAGTAGGTTGAGTTTACATTTGATTCCAATAGGCAATAGCGATCCACTGTAGAAACTTTAAAAATTTTAGCAACTGTGTGTAGGACAACTAGTTGTAGAGGGGGACCTACTAAAAGGCTTTCTGCTAGGAGAGTTCTGTTCTAGAGCTCCATCTTCAGCACCTATTTAATGGGGTTTGTGGATACCAAGATTTCCCTTTGATGTTATTTTGCTGCCTCACTATATTCCCACCATTATGAGTCAGTTACATACACCATTCTAGGCTGGGTGGCAGACTGATATTAATTGCCTAAGTATGTGTGTCTGATGGCTTTCCCCATTGGGGTAGCTGAAGCATGTACAGTCCCACAAACCCAAATGAGAAACAGGATGCCAGACTTCAGGGAGCTGACCACCCTGAGAGAGGTGGGGGTGATGGGCTGAATTGAGGACATCTTGCCTTATGGCTAGGGAGGAGACAGCAACACACAAAAGAACCACCAAACAAAAAAGACTGGGTAGCCCCTAGAAGCAGCAGAAATGAAATAATTATGGGTCATTTCTACTGTAGAAGATGGGATATTTGTTTAGAATCTTGGGTCCCAAACAATAATGTCCCTGAACAGTGCCCATGGTATTAGTCTCCTTCATCAGTTCTTAGTTTTTCATTTGGACAAGAAAAGTCCTGATTGAATAAGAGGTAGATCAAAGTAAGTTTGTACTCAACCCAGACCCTAGCTCCTTTCTCTGGCAGTCTGGGAAGCCTTGTGCAGCTTTGGAGATAGAGGCAGTGACTTGCCAATGCCTCCAATAGATGTTAAGGGTGTTTGTTTGTTTGTTTGTTTGTTTGTTTTTGGCAAGAGTGGGGGTGTTGGCTGTTTTAAAACTCTGACCTGCTTATTTTTTTCTTTCTCTCTGACTAATGGATCTGGCCAGTTGTATCAGGACATGAGCACTCTGAGATCATATTGGGCCCCGCTGTCTGCCCTGTAGTGAGAGACAAGGTTGTTTCTTTCCCTTGATGATGCCATGTGTATTTCTCCCTTGTGGACAGTCATTAATCTGGTATGGAACCAATTTGTTTGCTGTAGCCCTCCCTCTTTATTCTCTTTTCCATTCTGCAAATCATGAACCCATCTCTGTATTCTAAATATTACTACTTCTAGAACTCAATGGAAGCAGCCTCTGAAGTCTGATTCCCCCAGAAAGATGCAGTTAGAGAATTCGCTCTGTGTAGTCTGAAATGAAATCTGTTTTGTAGCTGTTTGTTTTCCCTTGGGTGACTTTGCCACCATTGGAGGATTTTTGTTTCTCAGTTTGGTGTGCATCTGTCTGTGTAAGTTCTTTTCCTTTAGGGAAGTGAAATGGAGAGGTTGTTTCCTTGGGAAGTACAGTTAGTTGCTGGGAGTAGTGATGGGAGTGAAGGGATGGTAGGAGGAAATACAGCATGAGGTAGCAAGAAAGGAGGCTGAATCATCTAGTTTGGATTAGAGTAAGATGGAGATGTGCTATATGAGACCATTGTACTATAATCTGTGCCTAGGAGCTTATATTGTCAGCCATTTTAGGGTGTCCTCTTTTGCAAGGGGTTGAGGGGTAGAGTGGGATAGGAATGGGGTAAAGTACAAAAACAGTTTCTGTGCCATAGCAAGCAAACTCTCACATTAAGTAATGTTTCCACAAGCTTCTGCATTCTGCAATGCTTCTTGTCGTTCCCCCACCACCACCACCAGTTTCTCTCGGAGAGGCAGTGAGGAGAGGCAGCAAAGTGGATAGAGCTTTGGACTTAGAGTCAGGAAAATCTGACTACTGCTCGAGAAACTTACTAAGCTGTGTGATGCAGGCAAGTTACTTAACCTCTGTGTGCCTTAGTTTTCTCATCTGTAAAACAGGGATAATAGCATCTACCTGGCAAGGTTGTTGTTGGGTCAAATGAGATATTTGTAAAGCACTTTGCAAACATAAAGTACTATTAAATAATAGCTGTTATTAGATAGTATGACTGAGATGGGGATTATTTGGATAGGTGTGTTTGCACCATTAGAATATATATTGTTATTTGTAAAAACTTCATTAGGCTGTCTGACTATGTGGAGTGAGAATCGTATCTGGACCCCCACTGAATTGGCTACTTCTGTAGCAGGCTGTTTTCTGTAGTATGACTTCATTCAGTTTAATGGCTTAAGGTATGTGTATTCTTTCTGCAGAGTTCCACCATACAGTGTTGAAGAAATTTTCTTATGCCAGGCAGCCAGGCTTTTTCAGTGGTACTACACCTCCCTTCCCTCCCCTCCCAAAAGCTGCATCCAGTCTCTGCTCACTTGAAGTGAAAAATATACTAGTTACCTACCAGAATACTTTGAGGTAGTTGTCTTCCGTTTCCTGGTCTCTCAGGGCATTGTTGTATCTTCCAGTTGTTCCTAAACTCCATAATCTAATGAATATGTCCCTTGGGAGAGGGTTTTATCTTAGACACCCCTGAGTATGTGTGCATGAAATGCATATGGGGGTATTGGAGCAGTACCGTGCTTTTAAATAGAGGACTGCTCTTAACTTCCAAAGCTTTGTTGCTGCTGATGTTCAGACATAAAGGACTTTGAAAAGCATGTAGTAAGCCCCTCCCAACCTGTGGCTAGCTCTCTGTTGACAAGATCTAAAGGAAGATTAATTTGTCATTTCCCTCTCTTAAAAGCTGTAGAAGAATCTGTCCCTTGGGGGAGTCTTAAGTTCCTCCCACTTTGCTAAGGAAATAGCAATCTTTTGGGAGCAAATGTGGATTATAGAAAAATGTAGCTAACCTCAACATATACTTGCTTAACACATAGATTTCTTATTTGCCTTAATACTTGAGTTATCCCAGAGCAGTTTTAGGGTAAATGGAAGCTCAGATCATACTTGTCATTTAGTGGACTTTACCCCATATAGGTAAAAAAAATCAGTCTGTATTTCCTTAGTAGAAATTGAAAATGATCTTGTGCTGATGTAATGGTTTTATATATATATATATATGTATATATATATATATATATATATATATATATATATATATATATTTTAGCCAAAGGAAGGTTGTTGGCAAGTTGGAAATCTAGTTTCTAGAAGTTCCAGGAAACATATCAGAACTAAAAGTTTTTTTGTGTATCTGTGTCTCTAGGCTGAGAGAGGCCAATTCAGAGGATAGGCTCTAACGGGCTGTTTGGTGATGGGAGTGGAGGTATAGATTTTCAGAGCCTTCATGAAATACTTTGTATCATTATGTGTCTCTGCCAGTGAAGCTGTACAGGACTTGGTGGGAGAAAGGATATCACCAGTCCTCCTATTTGCCTGGGCCCATCTAGGATCTGGATTTGTGATCTCAGTTGATACCCATTCGATTCTGTACTAGTTTACCTGGGACTAACCACAAAAACTTTTTAGCCTGGATTCAAGGCCTTCTACACACTTGTGCTTCCCTACGTTTTTAACTTTATCTCACACTGTTCTTCATGTGCATTGTGGCTCTTGCCAAACCCTGCACATTCAGTACATTCCTATTTCTATACCTATTGCTCACACAATTCCCTATGCCTGGGGTATTGTTTCCTTGATATCCCCCCTCCAAGCCTCAGGCCCTCCCCCCCACATTGAAATCCTGCTTATCATTTAAGGCCAAGATGAAAAAATGAAACTTTTTTCTGAGCCCTTTGATTGTAAATGATTTTTTTCTTCCTCAGATTTCACTTAGCACTTTACCTCTCGTATATGTTTTTGTCATGTTTTTTCTGCATTATAGTTTTAATATACAATTATTGAATATTTGTTGTATCTTCTAAGATTGTGAGCTCTATGAGACACTTTCTAAATTATCTTTGTATTTCCTTCAGCAACTTGAATATTGCTTTGTACATAATAGATGGTTGTCAAATGTTCTTCCCATAATATCACAGCTTGTTTTTGATCTCTCATATTAGTTGCTAAGAATAGAAGGCAGGGACTATATATTGTAATATATATTGTACTATATGTAATATATGGGAAGTCTATATGATTAACAATTTGCAGCACTTTGTATAAATCCCTCCTTTCTTAGAAGTTCTGGAACAGCTATCACATAGTACTTCTCTTACAAATATTTCTAGGAGAATCAGTTTCCTAAAGTTGGAAATGAATACAAATATAACTTGTCTCTATACTCTCACCTTAGGTAATTGGCTTTGAAGGAGACTGTATGTTGCTCCATTTGCATAGACATCAATAGCACCCTGTTCCGACCTCCATCTTGCCACCCAGCTTCACCCAGATGAGAGAAGATAAATCAAGCAAATTGAGTCAGCATTGGAGTTTATTGTAGATTCTCCCTCTGAATCTTAGAATCTTCCCATAACATCTCAGGTACCATCATCATTTTGCTTGAGGGTAATCAGAACTTTAGCGATTTACCTATTTCTCTAAGGATTGGGGTTCTTAACCTTTAGTTTGTGAATAGATTTCAGTAAGGCAGTAAACGTGGATGGGAAAAAAATTTTTGTCTTTATTTTCACTAACCTCTAATTGACGTTTAGCATTTCTTTCAATTATGAATGTAGGCAACAAATGACTATAGTTATTTAGCCGTACCTATTCTGATAATTATATTTCAGTATAATTGGTTTCCTTTTTAATCCCATGTATTTTATGTATTTAAAAATATTCTTTGAATGGGTCAGTAGGCTTTATGAGACTGCCAAAAGGAGTCCATAACATGCAAAAATTTAAGAGCCCTGGTGTGTGTGTGTGTGTGTGTGTGTGTGTGGTGTGTGTATGAATGGTGTTTATATATATGTATATGTATATGTGTGTGTGTGTATTACCATTCTTCCCTAAAGTCCTGTTCCAATTATGATGATGTGGAGGTGAATGCTGGATTCTTAATGTAAGCTCTAGTACATTTTTTAAAATAGTTTTTATTGGGGCAGCTAGGTGGCACAGTGGATAGAGCACCGGCCCTGGATTCAGGAGGACCTGAGTTCAAATTCGGCCTCAGGTACATAATACTTACTAACTGTGTGACCCTGGGCAAGTCACTTAACCCCATTGCCTAGCAAAAACAAAACCAAAAAATAGTTTTTATTGATTTTTTTCAGTACATTACTGTAGTTTTCCTCGGTATCCCTCTTCCTTTCCCCTCTACCTCCCAAAGAACCATTCAGTGTAACAAATAATATTTTAAAGTACAAGATATAAAGAAAAAGAAGAGGAAAAATCAGCACAACTTGTAAATATATTGAAAAAGTTCAAAAATATGTGCAATGTGCAACAATACCTCTGCAAAGGGATTGGGAACATCTTTTTTATTTTATATCTCTTCTTTCAAGACATTTCAAGCTTGTTCTTTATAATTTTGCAACATTCACTTTTGGTTTTTTGTATGTGTGGTTGTTTCCATTTGCATTGTTGTAGTCATTTTTTTTTTCTTGGCTTTGCTTACTTCATTCTGGATCAGTTCATGTAGACCTTTTTTCCATGCTTCTCTATATTTATCATATTCAGCATTGTTAACAGCACAGTAATATTCCATTGCATTTATATACCATGCTTTGCTTTGCCATTCCCCAGTTGTTGGGCAACTACTTTGTTTCCACTTCTTTGCTATGATGATGAATTTTTCATGAATAGTAATTCTTGGTAATTCCTAGTATTCTCTGTCACTTGCAGATATGCTTTTCCCATTCTCGGAAAAAAAAAACCTTTATTTAACCTACTATCTTTTCAAACTAACTGATTTACTTATGGTCCAACAATACTTCCTTAATTTATATTCTACAATTCACTTAGCTACTTCTCAGTATGTGGGAGCATAACTTTGTTTCCAATTTTTTACAATCACAAATAATTATGCAATGAATATTTAGGTTTATTTGAGAGTTTTCTCACTTTTACCTCCTTGGAGTTGTCTAGCAGTGAGATCTCTAAGTTTGTTTTTCATGTCTTAATGTTTTTCATTTTTTAATGATGTAGCATATTTTAATTTTGTTAAACATTTCCCAATTACATTTTAATCTGGTTCAGAAAAGATTTTGGAGTTTTCCCCAAAGGGCAAAGGTTAGGGCCTGATAGTTTGATCTAGTAGTAGACGTAGAATGTTGGAAGCAGAAGGGACCATATGGGAGATTTAATCCAGCCTCCAAACTTTACTGAGGAGGAAGCTGAGGCCTAGAGAGGTGATATCCGTTGCTCAAACATGTGAAAGCCAATGATTGGCAGAACTGTGCTTAATACCCGAGAATTTCACATTCCTTCCAGGCTCTGGAGTGAGAGGATCTAGGTTCAAATGTGACCTTTGACACTGCTTGTATTATCTTGGGCAGCTGATTTCATTCCCCTGGGCCTCAGCTTAACACTGTTCTTGCAGTTGAACAATTTCATGACTTTTCTCAAATAATTCCAAATTGATTTCCATAATGTCTAAACTCTCTTATCTTGTTGATCTATATTTAGTCCTGTCTGATCTAATAAGCTCCCATGAATTCACTTATCATCTCTGTGTAATAGAAACATCTCTGTTTCATATCCAAACAGTTGCCATATCTTGTTGATACTACCTCCATAAAATCTTCTTAATCCACATACTTCTTTTCCCTCAGATAGCCATGACTTTAGTTCAAGGCTTCATCATCTCTTACCTGGACTTTCTTTTTTTATAAATCATTATTTGCCCTCACTTCTTCCCACTCCCACGTTACTCCAAAGAGAAAGCAAAAGACACACATGCTACAAACATGTATGACTGAGCAAAACAAATTCCCACATTGGCTATATCCAAAAAAAATACGTCTCAATCCGATGTCTACGTTACCTCTCTATCTAGAGGGTAGTTAACGTATGTCATCATGAGTCTTCTGAAATCATGGTTGGACATTTTATTGATTAGAGTTCCTTAGTCTATCACATTCATATACCATTCCCCAGTTGACAGGCACACTGTTTCCAAATCTTTGCCACCAAAAAAAGAATTATTGTAAGTATTTTTATACATGAGTTCTTTTCCTCTTTCTTTGATCTCTTTGGGGTTTAACTCCAGTATATATTCCTGAATCAAAGGGTATGTGCAGTTTAATAGCTTTTTAGACATAGTTCCAAATTGCTTACCAGAGTAGTTGAACCAGTTCACAACTCCACCAAGAGTATATTAATGTATCTGTTTTTCCACAACCCCTTGAACATTTGTCATTTTCCCTTTTTTTAAAAATCATTTTTGCTAGTCTGACAGATGTGAGATAGAACCTCAAGAATTTTAATTTGCAAGTGTCTATTAAGATTTAGAGCATTTTTTAAAAATATGGCTACTGATACCTTGGATTTCTTCCTCAGGAAATTGCCTGTTCATGGCCTCTGACCGCTTATCAGTTGGGGAATGGCTCTTATTCTTGTAAATTTGAATAAGTTCCTAATGTATCTTAAAAAAAAACACCACCACCTTTTTCAGAGAAGCATAATACAAAGATTTCACACACCGCCTCCTGCTTATCTGCTTGTCTTGTCATTTTAACTGCATTAGTTTTTAACAAAAACAGTTTTTGAACAAATCAATAACTTTTAAATCTTCTTCTTATTATCATTATTATTATTTTTCCATCTATCTATTTGTTTATTTATTTTTAGTGAGGCAGTCGGGGTTAAGTGACTTGCCCAAGGTCACACAGCTAGTGCAGGTCAAGTGTTTGGTCTGAGGCCAGATTTGAACTCAGGTCCTCCTGACTTCAGGGCCAGTGCTCTATCCACTGCGCCACCTAGCTGCTCCAATAACTTTTTAATCTTACGTAATCAAAATTATCCATTTTATCTCCTGTGATTCTTTTTTTTTAAATTTATTTTGATTTATCAACAATCACTTCCATATGCTTTTGAGTTGAAAATTTTTTTCCCCCTTCCTCCCCCCCACCCTCCCCAAGACAGCTCACAAGCTGATATAGGCTTTACATTTACATACCCATTAAACATATTTTCACATTAGTGAAGTTGTAAGTAAAAATTAAAACCAATAGGAGGAACCATCAGAAAGATGAAACAAAACTCAACAGAAGGTAATAATAAATGATAGCGATTCGACTTCCATAGTTCTTTCTTTGGATGTGGACAGCATTTTCCATCCCAAGGCCTCTGGAGATGTCTTAGATCATTGTAATGCTGAGAAGGGTTCAGTTTAACAATATTAGTCATTGCATGGCTGTTATTGTGTACAAAGTCCTCTTGGTTCTGCTCACTTCACTCAGCATCAGACCATATAAGTCTTTCCAGGTTTTTCTGAAGTCAGCCTGTTCATCATTTCTTATAGCACAGTAGTATTCTATTACATTCATATACCACAACTTGCTCAGCCGTTCCCCAATTGATGGGCATCCTCTCAATTTCCAATTCTTTGCCACCACAAAAAGAGCTGCTGTGAATATTTTTGCACATGTGGGTCTTTTTCCCATTTGTTTGATCTCTTTGGGATATAGCCCTAGAAGTGCTATTGCTGGGTCAAAGGGTATGCACGTTTTTGTAGCCCTTTGGGCATAGTTCCAAATTGTTCTCCAAAATAGTTGGATCATTTTACAACTCCACCAACAATGTATTAGTGTTCCAATTTTCCCACATCTTCTCCAGCATTTATCATTTTCCTGTTTTGTCATGTTGGCCAATCTGATAGGTGTGAGGTGGTACCTCAGAGTTGTTTTGATTTGCATTTCTTTAATCAATAACTCCTGTGATTCTTTGTAGTTCTTGTTTGGTCATGTACTCCTTTCCCTATACATCGATCTGACAGGTAATTTCTTCCTTTCTTCTCTGATTTGTTCGTGATGTTATTCTTCATGTCTAATTCATGTACCCATTTGGAGCTTATTTTGATATAGAAGGTGAGATGTTGATCTATATCTAGTGTCTGTCGGACTGCTTTCCAGTTTTTCCAGCAGTTTTTGTTGAAATATGAGTTCTTACCCTAATAGCTGGGATCTTTGAGTGTATCAAACATTGAACTACTCTTGCTTCTATATATTGTGGATGTAATTTATTCCACTGATAAAGCTCTTAGTTTTTAACTAGTATCAAATTGGTATTTTTAAAATTTTATTTTATGAGCAGCTAGGTGGTGCAGTGAATAGAGCACCAGCCCTGGAGTCGGGAGGACCCGAGTTCAAATTCGGCCTCAGACCAAACATTTGACACTATCTGTGTGACCTTGGGCAAGTCGCTTAACCCCAATTACCTAAAAATTAAAAAAAAAAAAGATGCTAAAATTTTATTTTATTTTCAGGTTCAAATTCTCTTTCTACTTACCCCTCTGTCCCAATTAGAAAAAAAAAGCATCTATGACAAATGTATATAGTTGAACAGAACAAATTCCTGCTTTGAACATGTCAAAACGAAAA